AAGACTTGTGGACTTCAACTCCCAGAATTCCTGAGCTAACATGACTGGAGGAGGAATTCTGGGAGTTGGAAGTCCACAAGTCTTAAAGCTGTCAAGTTTGAAGACCCCTGCTGTAACTGCACACCTGGAGGTTTTGGGGAAAGTCAGCACAAAACTTTTCAGGCCATCATCCTTTTTTGCAATTCACACACAAGACTTTGCTTCCGGAAGCAACCAACATCTACAGAAGGAAATTCACTTGGTCTGAGCAGCAAAAAACCTATAAGATGCCTCCATGGGCGGCCAGGTCATTCTCACCTATGTTTGAGGTGTAATCGGTGGCCCCAAAGATGAGCTCAGGCGCACGGTAATAGCGAGAACAGATGTAGGAGACATTGGGTTCGCCTCGCACCAGCTGCTTTGCACTGGAAAAAAAAAGAGGGAAGCGTAGATGGGGATATCCAGAGAACTAGAATATTATTGAAATGAGGGCATAGATGCATAAATGGAAGCCCCCACCCCCCTATGACCCCCATCCCTGAGACCTTCAACATTTGTTAGCTGTATTTATTATCTAACAAAAAGTGAAAATGATTAAATGCACAATTTAAGAATAATAATATAAATTGCAATAAATCTACTGTAAAGTTCTATCTAAATACAATCAATATAAGGATAGGTTATTCCCCGGTTTTTGCCCTCAGCCCACCACTCAAAAGCCACGGAGAGATTTCAGCTCAGAAAAAGGATACCCGCTCCTCTGTTTAACAGAGCAACAGTTGGGAGGGACTTTAAAGGTCTTCTAGTCCAGCCACCTGCTAAAACAGGAGACAAATCTCTTCTTAAAAACCTCCAGTGTTAAGAGCATCCACAACCTCTGGAGGCAAGCAGTTCCACTGATTAATTGTTCTCACTGTCAGGAAATCTCTCCTTGGTTCTAAGTTGCTTCTCTCTTTGATTAATTTCCATCCATTGCTTCTTGTCCCGCCTTCTGGTGCTTTAGAGAAGAGGCTGACCCCTTCTGCTCTGTGGCAGCCCCTCAGGTATTGGAACACTGCTCTCATATCACCCCTAGTCCTTCTTTTGATTAAAAATTCATTTAAAAATGTATTAAAAAATGTATTAATTACAGCCCCAGATTTGCAGCAGGAAGATGTGGGTTCAAATCCTGCTTTATCCTGAAGCTCAAACCGGTTGCTCTCTCTCACACAACTTCCTCACAGAGCTGTGGGAAGGGAAAAATGGCAGCAAAGGGGGGAAAAAAATCCAACTATGCTGTCCCAAATATCTTGGAGAAAGGCTAAGATCTGTAACATTTATTTACAGGATGTGGCTCATAAATTCCTTCTGGGGAAGCTTTGCAAAGATGACCGATAAAACCGTGCCAGCAACACAAAAGAAAATTTAACAGCTACACAGAAACAAGGTCACAGAATGACCAACACTCTGAACACCAGGGCGAGGGAGGGGGGGAGAGAGAAGAAAGGGTCAGTCCAGACCGCTGACCGACCATGTGCAGTAGCTCTGAAAGAATAACTGTGCTAGAAAGGAAAGCCTTTTTGAGGCAGCTAGGCGCAATGCAAAAGTTACCAGAAAGGCACGGGCCACAGAGAATTGCATGTAAGGCAAAGAATGCATAAATCTCTAGGGAAAGCTTACGCACCGGAGAACAAATCCCTTGTGTGTTTCCCATCACACTTGGCCAATAAAGAATTCTGTTGTGTTGTACTCTGCTTGTGGCTATAGAGCCACAAGGTCTGTAAACAAACCCCACTTCCACTTCCTCTGGTTAGTGGTTTATCTTGCCTGCTTCTCTCACCTGCCGAAGTCGCAAAGCTTCAGTACTGCTGTATCGGGATCCACCAACAGATTCTGAGGTTTGATGTCTCGATGACACACGCCTTGAGAATGGATGTAAGCGAGGCTGCGGAACAACTGATACATGTATACCTGAAGGGAGGAAAGGCAGCAGCCATTAAGGAGTGGCAGTTTGGTATACTTTAAATCACTGGCCTAGAAAAGACGAGCTTGTGAGTTCTGGTCCTGCCTTAGGAACGAAAGCCAGCTAAGTGACTTCACGCCAATCACCGGGAGATTGTGAGTTCTAGTCCCATTTTAGGCATGAAAGCCAGCTCAGTGACTTTACGCCAATCACTGGGAGCCTGTAAGTTCTAGGCCTACCTTAGGCATGAAAGCCAGCTCAATAACTTTAGGCCAACTACCAGGAGATTGTGAGTTCTTTCATGCCTACCTTAGGCATGAAAGCCGGCTGGGTGAACTTTGAGCCAGTTCCTCTCTCCAAGCCTGCCTCACAGGGATGTTGTTTATTTATTATTCCATTTTTATCTCACCTTTATTACTTTAGATCAGGGGTCCCCAACCGCCGGTCCGTGGACCGGTACCGGTCCGCGGAACAAGTCTTACCGGGCCGCTGGTTGCTGGGCGCCACCATCTTTTTTTGGTAAAAAAGTACTTCCGGTGAGCTTTTCCGGGTAGAAAGCTCACCGGAAGCACTTTTTCATCAAAAAAAGATGGCGGCGCCCAGTTGATGCCGGTACCGGGCTGCGGCACCCAGCTAATGCCGGTACCGGGCCGCGGCGTCAAAAAGGTTGGGGATCACTGCTTTAGATGGTGAACATACCTAATGCTCCTTGTTATTTTTCCCCAGATAACAATCCTCAATTGTTGTAGTGAAAATAGGTAGAAGAGGTACTAGATACGTTTTTCTGCTTTGAGCTGGCCAAAATACATATTTTAGGATAAATGTAATACTGTATTTTAAAGCAGACTTGGCAACTTTAAGACTTGTGGACTTCAACTCCCAGAATTCCTCAGCCATCTAGCGTTGAAGTCCATCTGGAGTTGAAGTCCACAAGTCTTAAAGTTGTCAAGTTTGGGGACCCCTGTCTTAAAGCAAAACCTAGCTATAAATGTCTACTTTCTTAATACTAAGGTCATCCTCTAATTGTGATTCAGCAAACAAAGAATAATATGGTACACATCTACCTACTTTTATTATGGATAATGCAATGACGTGTGATTTTTAAAGTACATTTCTCAGTTTGATGATACCAATTTCCTTATTGTTTGGAGAATTAGTTCAGCATATCTGGAAAGTGTTAGCCTTACTCAACCTATCTATTTTAAGATTGCCTGAATTGAATGCCCATGTTGCATCAGAACAGATACTTTGAGTAGTAGCTGGGCAAGTATCTTTGAGAATTTACCGTATTTGCCGGCGTATAAGACGACTTTTTTGCCCTGAAAAAGATGCCTCCAATTGGGGGGGTCGTCTTATATGCCGGGTCATCTTATACGCCGGCAAATAGTAATTGGGAAGCACTGCGGCTGCCCGCGGCTGAGGCACTTTTGCGCACCGTGGAAACGAATCCCGTGAAGCCGAAAGGAGCAGCCAGCCTTCTCCCAGCTCCCAAGGAAACGAGGCTCGCACCGCCCGAGCTCCGCTGAGGTATCCGGCTGGGGCTGTCAGGAGTTGTTACCGCTGGCGCGGCTCCGTGCGGCTCCAGTCCCGCGTTGCCTCGGGAAGGGAAAGGCAAAAAGGAAGAGCCGCGGCGGCGCTTTGCAATGGCAGCAGCGGCTCCTGGTTTTGCCTTTCCCTTCCCGAGGCAATGCGGGACTGGAGCTGCACGGAGCCGCGCCAGCGGTAACAACTCCTGACAGCCCCAGCCGGATACCTCAGCGGAGCCCGGGCGGTGCGAGCCTCGTTTCCTTGGGAGCTGGGAGAAGGCTGGCTGCTCCTTTCAGCTTCATGGGATTCGTTTCCACGGTAGACAAAAGTGCCTCAAAAAAAAAAAAAAGTGCAAAAGTGGAAGACGTGCGGAAGAGGGGGCGAGTATATAACAAACTATATTTTGAGTGGAAATGTTGGGGGGTCGTCTTATACGCCGGGTCGTCTTATACGCCGGCATATACGGTAAATGAGATAACCTCATTATCATGATCATTTGTCCCTACCCTCCGATCTACAGCTAGCCCTTAACTTACAACCACAAATGAAGCCTGGAATTTGAGCTGAAAGTCACTGAGGTCATAAGCTGAGGCCCCAAGTGACTCACCTAATTACCTTCGACTTAATTTTAAAACTGTTTTCAGGAAAGTCATGAAGCCATGTGACTCACTCGATTGGTAAGCAAACTACACGGGCATTAAGCAAATCGAACATATCCGAGGGACATTTTTTTTGCTGTTTCCTCCCAGAAAAAATGCCCCTCCCCCCCCCCAAAAAAGTCACAAATCACGCTGTATGGAGGACGCTGTAGCCAATCGTAAATATGAGCCAAGTACCCAAAATGCGATCACGTGACCACAGCGGTGCGGGGGGGGGGGGGGGGGGGGGGGGGAGAGGATGCAGCAGTCGTAATTTCAAGGACAGGTCGTAAGTAGTTATTTTGAAGTCCGCTGTAACTTCAAACGATCGTTAAGCAGAGACTACCGATAATACTTCTGCAAATAAGAGGAGCGTAATCGGGCAGCTTGCCGATCAATGTTGGCAGATCCCATCACTATGGAGGGATCAAATCTTCCTGAAAGCATCTATGTTCACTGTCTCCCATTTTGACCACGTGGAAAATGCCACGCCCATGGATAATGGGCTGGGTGAATAAAGAAAAGGGGATTTTTTTCTTCTTCTTCCTTTTAGCATTCTGTCTGCTAAACCAATGCTAGTTAAACAGACAGAAAACCTAAGCAAAGGGGCAGGCAGAAGCAATCACAGGGCCAGAATAACTGGAGATGTTTTGAGAATTCCTGACAGGGAGTTAGAGAATGAGAGGAAAAAGAAACAAGAGAGAATGAAGAATGTGGGGAGAAGAAAAATAAATCAACTGAACAGAAGGCCAGGCATATAGGCCCATTCCAGTATTCACACTACGAATGTGGGCTACAGACTTAATGATCGCATTGTGTGGTTGTGAATGTGAATATTACTTGAGTTTTGTGCTTTTTTTAAATCTATTTTTGAAAGAGAAAATTAGGGTTTTTTTTGTTTTAACCACAGAATAATGCAAGTAAGTTTTCTTAATGGCAAAATCCACTTCTTTTTGCTTGGCCTGAGGCAATCTGCAGTTGCCACCCACATCAGCCATCAAGGCCAGATGGGGATCAATGTAGCATCCAAATTATGAGTCATCCTTTGCCCATCATTCATTACCACTTGTCCCGAGGGAAGCATCCCTGGATAGGGAGGAAGACATGCAAAGTCTGTCCCAGAAGTCTGCTCACTGGGCTGCATATGGCTGTCACCACCATTTGCACCAAGGAGCGATTCCAGAAGTGGTTCCTTTAAAAAAAAATCCTATCTATTTCTTTGCAATCTTTTGGATTGCTTAAAAGCTATTTTGAGAGGACCGGTCTCCCGAAAGGCTTGAAAGAAATAACGATATTAACGAAACCAAGAGAGCCAGTTTGGTTAGCGGTTAAGGCACCAGGGAGATGGTAAATTCTAGCTGCACCATAGCCATGAAAGCCAACTGGAGACAGTGAGTTCTAGTTCCACCTTAGCTGGAAAGCCAACTGGGTGACTTTGGACCAGTCATTCTTTCTCAGTCCAACTCACCTCATAGGATTGGTGTGGGGAAAAATAGGAGGAGCAAGAAGTATTAAATGTGTTTGCTGTCTTATTTGTAAAAATAATAAAGGCAGGAGATAGATGGATGGATGGATAGATAGATGGATAGCTAGATGACAGAGTAAAAGAGAATAGAATGGAATAGAATAGAATAGAATAGAATAGAATAGAATAGAATAGAATAGAATAGAAT